GTAGGATCTCAGGTTCCACTATGGGTACAATCCCATGCTGCAAGTACAGTTGGGACAAGAATTTGAGCTTTAACAAATCTCCATTTGCATCTCTTATAAATGAATTTAGCCGAATTAATATTTTACCTGCTGACAAATACTAGCATAGCGAGCAAGGACTTTAGCATTTTCTTTAATGCACAGGTTTGACGGGGTGGTATCACTGATTTTCATCACACAACGCCACTTTGCAAAGTCAGCTCCATCCTTTTTATACTGAGCGCAGCGTTCTGAGAGCCCATCCAGACCTGTTGAGACGGTAGAGCTGTTCAATTGTGATGATCATTATGGTCTGGGTCCTAAACTGACCCTAACTGGATTCAAGACAATTCACAAAAAAAATCACAGTATGGAAAATAACCTTTAACATGAACACTTCTCAAACATTACGAAAAAGTAAACATAAGAATATATATTTAAAACTGTATTGATTTTTTAAAAACTGTAATATATATATATATATATATATATATATATATCAAACAAAATATTGTTAACAATGGCAAAATCATTTGTTCGTTTTCCAGCAAAATTCACATGCATGAACTGATACAAATTTAAAATTGATTTATCAAATATTCAGATCCAGAGAACGGACATCTTTAAAATACCTTGTGTAGTGGTTTCTCCATTAGTCCCTGGCAAGGGGACTACACCTTTGTCAACCTGTGAAGAAAGGGCAAAATGTTTTAGAAATGAAACATAATTTTAATTCAGCTCATTGACTTAAACACCCTGTCAGAAAAAAAGGTGCAAAAATTGTACCTTTTTCAGTACAGTAGGTGCATATTAGTATCTTAGAGTAGTAATGTGTACCCTGAAGTTTTCCAACTTTTTAGGGGTAAATAGAGTACAAAGTTGCCTCTAAGGGTACTGCCCTAGTGACAAGCTGTTGTACCCCTAAAGGTATCATTTTTGTACATTTAAATACAAAATTCAAATACAGCGTTTCCCAAAAACAGGTTTTGTGAACACTCCCCATATCTGCGATTATTTGGACAAACAGATAGATCTGTCCCAAAAGTATCCCACTGATTGAACTGCACTTGAAATGCTTTTTCTAATCAGACATGAAAGGAAGATATGGATTAAATGGGATTGAGAAATGTTGCAAGTCAGGTTCAAACTCACAGCACCTGCATGAGCACCAAGGTTCAACATGTCAAAACAAACACTCCTACATCTGAGACTTCATACCTTGATTCCGATAGTGATGCCCTTGTCCTTTATCATCTTGACGAACGGGACACCATCGTCAGAGTATTGGTAGAGTGTTTCATGGAAGAAGATCACTCCACCGATGCAGTTATCAACGCGGTCATCAGCGGTGAAGAGCACCTGGCGGTAGAGGCGGCGGTTCTCCTCGTTGTTCTCTACCCCTATCTGGTTTAAACGCTTCCCCAGGCTGCCTGTTAGAACATCCACAGGATCAAAGTGAGTTCTTGCGGATTTCTTTCACACTGCAATTTATGACGACTAACTGGAGGAAGCCACACTAACCTATGGACTCGTCTGCAGCTAGGATGCCTTTCCCTGGTGACACTATGCGCAGAGCTATCACATGTAGCTCCTTCTTTTGCTCAGTGGTGAGGGGAGGAAACTGATAGGTCATCCTAAATGTCCAGCACAACCTGAGGATATGAACATTGTAATGACATAATCATAAACACGAGTACATTACATAATCAAGATGGGATATCAAAGACATCACCATATATTGCCTTTGTGCTGAAGTCATTTATGCTTAACAGGGTCTGTATGGTTCACATACAATGTAAGAAAAAAAATGTAGAACGTTGAAATGTAAAATCTAAAGGAAAATTACCAGTAACCTTTTTTTTTAAAGTTTGCAAACATTTCCTAAAACATAATGTGTAACTTGAAGCGCAGGTAAAAATCAATATGGAAAATTCCTTAATATTAACAGTACGTTGTAGAATTTTAAAATTGTGATTTCCAGGCCTGGAAAATTAATGGAAATTGATGACATTTTTAAAAAGTCTATTCTATATGCACAACTATAGAACCTTTATTTGGTTAGAAATTGGTTTCTGTGAGTTTAATCTCACATCTAGTATGCGAGTTCAATCCTCATCTAGTAAACATAAACATTAATTAGATGTATTGAATTATTCTGATATATATTGAAGTTTATTTGACAAGAAAATACAATTTCAGTCTTTCTACTAAAATTTCATGTTTAATTCAGTGTGTTACTTGTTTCTTTGTAATTATCTGTGAAATGTACACAATTTCTGAGTTATTTTTTTTTCAGTAGAATTGATGCAAAGTTCTTCTTTTGAAATGAAATAGCCATTAAAAAAAAAAAAAGTTAAATAGATCAATCCAACACAATTAATTCACTTAAAGGCACAGCAGCTCTTCTGCTAATGTTGTTCAGTTCAGAAATGCCAAGCATTCACTTTCACAAAAGCTTAACAAAGATTTCTGCAACTCTGGCAACTTTGTTATCCACAGCCACAACTGAAGCACATAGACAGTTTACAAGCCTTACGCATATATAAATGACTCTCTTTATGAATAACTAAATCGCAAAAGTACTGCAAAATGTTATTTTTAAGAGTTCTCAACTTCTTGAAAACCTTTTGAACCTTTAGCAGCATTTAAACACAGCTATCCAAAAAACTGATCGTGCATATATGACTCTCAGCATTAAAAATAATTTTCTAAATGGTACTTTTTAGTAATAAAAACCTTACAAAGTTGTTTCTCCACTGCGTATTTCACAAAACAATTGTAACTCAAAATGGTGATGGCAGATAATTCAACAGATGGAATTACTCACCAGGTCAGAGAGGACCGACTGACTCAGACTGAAGGGGCTTTTTCCTGCAGACGAGATGAGACGTGACTGATTCTTTAACAGTGCCAGTGTCCCAGTTCTTTATGAAGGTGATATCCCAGGGGATGCTGACACTTGTGTAAGGGCGGAGCTTAACGTCCTGCCCTCATTAAGTTATTGGAGGAGGTGTTAAAGGCCACCAAAGGTTGCCCACCTGATCCCATTTCTCTAGCAGCATGGATTCTCATTATTTTTCACAATGCAATGCAACCAAATGAGATTTTTTTTACATTTTCTATACTGCAAAACTTGGTGGGGTAGCGTGGGTGGTTGCCAGGTTTTTGCTATACAGCTGTTCTGGAAGGTTGTTAGGATAGTTATGTACTTAAAATAGCCCAGATATGGCTTGAATCCCTTATTCAGTGTAAGTCAATGGGATTTTTTGCAGTTTTATTATCTGCCAGGTGGCCTAAAAGCCACATTATTTGAAGTATCAACTTTGTAACATGTTGGGTCTTTCAGGCCACATCCGCTGTATTCCCGTCAACAATATAATTAGATCATACACGCCTCAGGCGAATCCTCAAATCTCTAGTCAGCTGAGACTCCCATCATACCCTTCGGAAAATGTTGGCAGTCACAGAGCGGCTGAGATTCAAGTATATGTGTGGTAAAAAATGAGGTGGGGTCATGGCATAATTTCTAGTTCTATAGAATTTTTAGATGACTTTATGATCTAGTTTTCAAGGACAAAAAAGGAGTCAAAGTTTGGAGATTCAGTTTACTAAAGCATCGATCTGTTATGAAATTATGTGAGCAATGCCCTAAAAGTGGCTTTAAGTGTAATTTATTCATATCACATGTAATATAGAAATAGCCAGACTTTTTTAGGAGCATGTTGTTCAATTCTTAATATGAAACCAATAAGGTACTGTAGATGAAAATGGCAGGTTTAGAGGGATACCCAATGTTTCATTATACATAAAGGACTGAACCCATTGGAAGTAGACTCTCAGGAGAACTGTTAAGAGTTACGGATATTTTAAGCCACCTCTACTGGGGCTGTGATTTTTTTTCCTGATACCTAATTAAAAACATTAATAATGATGCTTTATCTGGTGTTCAATTTTCAGCCCTATTAAGGCTGCTCCCATTTGGGTTTGTCATTGCTCTCACAAATAGGTCACACCAAAGTCTCAAAGTTGGAGAAATGTCTCCAGGTATCATTCACAGATATATATTTTACCATTCTATCTTATGAATTGTAATGACATGAAGTTCTATTTTGGGGACATATGTTGAGAATGATCTTTACTGTACTGCTGAAAACTGATGAAAAAATGACAGATAATCAAATAATGGCATAAATATTCAGATACTTATTACCATAATAACCACATACTACTTAATATAACCTAAACTGTATTGTGTTGCATTGTATTATTATTAAGCATAGCACTATACATTCCATTGTACATTACATTACTGTACTGTATATTTCACAGTATATTTAATCTGTGAATCAATATATTAATCAACATATTTCATATATTGGTAATAGTAAAGTTGTAGCATATTAGCCTTTTATATTGTACCCAGCAATGGAATTTTCACCATTTGTGTTTAGATTTTTCAGTGACTCTTTCTGCAGGTTACACTGATACACAAATAGATGGTGACAAGTGAGTCTCAAATGACTTGTTCAAAACAGATTCGTTTAGGAGTGAAACAAGTGGCATGTCTTTATAAATGAGTTATTGAATCATTCACTCAACTGTTCAGTTTAAAAACATTGATTCATTCAGGAGCAAAACAAGTGATACATTTTTATTAGCAAGTGACTGAATCATTCATTCAACCCTTTTGTTAAAAAACATTGATTCATTTAGGAGCGAAACAAGTGACTCGTCTCTGAGCGAATCATTTACTCAACCGTTTCATTCAAAAACACTGATTCATTCATTAGCGAAAACAAGTGATATATCTTTATGAGCGAGTCATTGAATCATTAACTCAAATGTTTCATTCAAAACCACTGATTTATTCATTAGCGAAAAAAGTGACACGTCTTTTTGGGAGAGTCATTGAATCACTCACTCAACAAATTTGTTCAAAAACAGATTCATTTTTAAAAAACAAAATACTATTCCTGGGGTGTTGTATGGAAATGCACAGAAGTTGATTCAGCTTTGGCTTCATTTGGAACTATTATTTCCAAAAAAGTAACTGGCAATATTGTGTCTAAAAAGGTCACAATCTATTTGTCACAGATTATCACTCTTATGGTGCCACAGTAAACAGGGCATCACTGTAACCGATATAAAAATAATAATAATTGAAATCATATGCTCCTTTCCTTTATACACAGGAACTAAATAAAACCCAACAGTTCATATACTATTAAGACAAATATTGCCTTATACTAGGGCAAAACTTAACTTTCAAAACAGAGGTAACATTGTTAAAAATCTAATACGCTTTCTGTATATTCAGATGAAAATAAATATGATTATTAAATAAGACTCTGTAGTAATACTTGTTATTGACTGGCTATTCACATAGATTGATTTGTGGGTGAACTATTAGAAAAATACTGTGCCATTTTATCTCGTCTTTGGCAAAACACTGAATGTTACAGAGAGAAAAAATGAGTTCATTTCTGTTTTCATGGAGAATTGGTTCCTATAGCTTTTGTTTTAGCCCCTGCTGTGTCTTCGTTTACCTTAATCTTCATCAAGGTAGGAGACAAATCTGCAGGGGTAGATGGAGAGTTCAGTAGGTCACACTCAAAATTCTGAAGCAGGTCTAATGATAAACCTCGCATCGACCTTTCCGGTCGGTCAGGATGGTTCTTCAGCTCGAGGATTGGCTCAATGGGACTTTTCTGCAGCAGCTGGGAGTCAAAAGACATGCCGTGGAAAAACTTCTGGCTCTGGAAGAGCTCCAGGCAGCGTAAGCGACGAGTGGGGATCTTGCACAGAAGCTGTATTCAAACATGATTTTTAGAGTTTGAGGAAGACTGCTTTGAAAGTTTCCATAAACAACAGGGTTATACGCCATTCAGATTTGAAGGTAGAAATTAAAATGTAAAAAAAATGCTGAGAAATTAATTTAAATGAGATGTGTTTATTTAAATTAAACATTGTTAGTATGAACTACCTCTAAATGATATCTTACACATAAAATATAGGGTATTTCAATAAACATTAGAATTAATTAATACAATAAACATCCATATATATATATA